GTGCTCGGCACGTTTTCCTTTTTTCCCTTCTCCGTTTTCCTTGGGCAATGTTGAGCTAGGTCGTGGTTACGTTCGATATCCGCGGTGTTCCTACTCGAACAGAAAGGGGGCGGGCCGTAAATCATAGAACGGGTTCACGATAAGAACTCTTCCAGGCCCCCGGACCGCGCCCCGGACCCGGGCTAGAAGCAGCGCTGCCTGCCAGGCCTCCCCGCCGCCTGGAACCGCGTAACCGCGCCGCGCTCGGCCGCCACTTGAGCGGGTTGCCGACGACGACGTGACGGCCAAAACTCTAGACGCGTTTTGAGCTCCAGAGTCACTAAATGGGACTCGAACTGAACGTGTGACCTAACCTATGCATTCCTCGTTCGGAGAGCAAACCATTGGTGGAGTCACACGTTCGGTTTGAGTCCCATTTAGCGACTCGGGAGATCAAAATGCGTCTACACTACAAACCTAACTGTCTACTTAGTACACACTTACAAATGCATGCTTGCAAGTACACACTTACAAACGCATGCTTGGCCAAGTACACACTTACAAACGCATGCTTGCAAGTACACACTTACAAACGCATGCTTGCAAGTACACACTTACAAACGCATGCTTGACGCCGTATAACTCCATGCGTCAAGCATGCGTTTGTAAGTGTGTACTTGCAAGCATGCGTTTGTAAGTGTGTACTTGCAAGCATGCGTTTGTAAGTGTGTACTTGGCCAAGCATGCGTTTGTAAGTGTGTACTTGCAAGCATGCATTTGTAAGTGTGTACTAAGTAGACAGTTAGGTTTGTAGTGTAGAGTTTTAGCCGCCTCCACCGGTCTTCTGGCCCACTGTGCGCCGTCGTCTCTCATCTGAGATCTTTTACTCACGTCTCCCGCGGCACATGCGACACTTGTCGCGGTGCGCCAGGCCCAGCTCCCAGTCGTCAAAAATGAGTGGTGGCGGGGCCAGGAGAGGCTTGTCATGGTCAGTATATTTAAAAGGCTGTCCCGTCCTGGGGTTGTCTGCAATGAAAACAAGGGGAACTATGAGCAACCTAAGGAGGAAAGCAAGAAGATACCGCAAGAAACCACGATGCTTACCGCCGAAACCCCTCACATCACCGTGGACATGGCCGAGAACGTCTGAAAAAAAAATTAATGTACACTGTTACAAAAGTCTCCATTCAAGGAACGTTCATGGAAGCAGATGTTACTCCACGAGTACTGCCGTGAGTGCTAGTTGCGGCAGCATGCTCTAATCTCTGTTATTGTATACAACATTGTAAATAAACTAGTGTAAGCGCCCGCCTAGCTGCGCCGCCGGGCAAGAACGAGAGGAGGCCGAGAGGGGGCTGCCGTGGCAGCGGGGTGAGGCGAAGTCGCTCGCCAGCACCCAGCTCTCTGCCCCTGCACGCGCCCCCCCCCCCCTTGTGCACGCCCCTATGCACTGGATAGTCCTGTAGCCGTGGTAACGTCTGTGCGAAATCGCCCTGCAGCGGGCAGCCATGGCCGAGGCCACGGCGAGCCCCAGTGGAGTGGGGTGTGCAACACGTACCCGACGCTCCCTAGAAAGCCCGAATACTCCATGCTCTCTGACACGCCCGACCCGACCGCCAGACGGCCCCTTCCCCCTCGCCGTCCCTTTACCCCTCCCCTTGCCCGCCCCCCACATCCCCGCGCGGGCCCTGCTTTGGGACGCGAAGAAAAAGCAACTAGGCCCTCCATACTCTCAACTCGACCGCCACGCAGCCGAAGACGGGCCTCCCCCTAAAGTCATATGGAACATACCGGGTGTAAAATGTAACACGCAACGGGCGAGCGGGTTGCCTATGCTTGACTCGGCGGGCGCGCCGGAATGGACGCCTTAGGACAAAGATAAAAAAAAAACAATGTACTTACGACCGGCATTCTTCACCCGATGTTCAGACTCATTTCGAAAATCCCAGGCGCAGGTGGGGCACCATACTGAGGACGTCATCTAAAACACAATGAGAACAAAAAAACGTTAACGCTGACGATAACGCGAAAGCAGATGACGCTGTCGTACGGCTTTTGCAGCCTTCCACCACCCTTTCTGTGCCCCAAGTCAGAATCTACAGTTGTTCTCGATGGAGATGCCCCGCGCTCGGCCACTGGCCAACTAGCGCACCTGCGCGGCGGCAATACTCCGAGCGTTAGCGCCTTAGTCACAAGCGCTCGTTACGTGGGCCGCCAAGAACGCCGCAAAGACCGCCGCGAAAAAGACCTACAACGGCGGCCCCTAACCTAACCTAAGCCGAAATTGTCCGAGTGTTGGTCCAGCCTGACCTGCCCAGCCCCGGACCGCAGTCTGGGGACGTCTGACGGAGCCCAAGCCAGGGCCGAACAATTGAACAGGCTTCCCACGATGGGAGCCCACCACGACCAACATTGCGCCTGGGTATGCTAGCCGCGCCCCACCTGGCCACAGGCAGCGCGGCGCGTCAAAGGTGAGCACCATGCCGCGCCACGGCCTGCTAGTCCCGGTACCATGGCACGGCACTCCTTGGAGGCCGCCGGGCCGTTCCCCTCCACGCCGCGCCTGAAGCCAGGCGCGCCAAGACTCAGTCCCAGCCCCCGCGCCCCAAGGCGACACCGCCAAACGTCACCCTGCCCGGCATGACAACGACCCCGCGTCACCAAGCCGACTGCGCGCGCCGACTGCTCTTTACCTCGCGTGCGCATCAACAGCCCCCCAACGCGCCCCGCAGACCTTCGCTCCGCGCAACCCCTTGGAGTGGTATTCACTGTCTTATACACCCAATAAACCCTCAGTTTTCAAACCACACTCCCTACTCTCTTCGGAAACCTCCTCCCAAACCCGCACCATCACAGTACTGAAACTGAATTGAAATCTCACTTGTGCAGTCAACCGGCAGTCAGATAGTCGCCGTCCTCTCTCATTTACTCACCCATTTTTGGGCAAAATTTGCAGTTTGCGAATTGCTGCGCGCCCGCCTGAAAATCGTGGATGCCCCCCACTGCGCCCAGCCTTGGTTTGTCCGCATCTGTTACCCGAAAGAATCTGTTCCTCTGCTGGTTCACTGCAAGGAAAACACGGAGAACTTAGTAGCCGAGCGTGGAAAACAGGAGGATATAAAAATAAACACCTCCATACTTACTAGGGCGTCTTTCCGCCTTTCTTATGGCAGTGCACAAAATGGTCTGAAAGAAAAAAATTGGTCATTGACTTTTTAACCGCATTTCATCATCAGAATCAGCGTTCAAAGTTCTACTAGTCTGCAAAATCTCATTAAAATCCTATAGAAAATTTCCAAAATGCATAAAGGGCCACGCGAATTGAATCTCCCGCCGGCTGAACCCTGGGTATACTATAAGGCTACCGTAACTGTCATTTTGCCCGATTCACAGTTCAAAAGGCTCCCATCTCACTTATTTAATCGACTTGGAAGTATTGGTCTTCTTATTGTCTGAGACGATTTGTATGAAGTGGCACCCCTTCTACCAGCAATTGTGCCCTGATTTTTGACCCTCACTTCTTGACCCTGTTTGTGGCCCTCCGTATTCGTTAACAAATTACACTCTCATTTCAGGAACGTGACATCACGTTGAAACGAACGTGACAAACTGTCGGAGACTTTGCTGTGTCACTTGTCACCTTATAATCACTTTAAGTGTTTGCCCGATGCCCGGTAGCGTTAAAGGAGAAACGTGGAAAAAGGGAGTAATCATTCTTAACTCCGTAACTCGCCCGGACCCCTACACTGTTTCAGACGAAACTTGTTTTTTCCCCGGGAGTGTTCCGTAAGTTGTGATTTTTATCACACAAAATTATAAAAAGTAATGTTTTGGCTTACAAGTGACCGATACGTGTGGGCAAAGTCGCGATTCTAAACTCCGGAACACTAAGTCCATTTCCCCCAAATTCCCATATAAAATACATGGGAATTTTGTATTTTCTGGAAGTCAAACTTAAGCGTTGCATAAGGATTTCTTTTCTAGGCGGAATAAAACGAAAATTTGCCAGAAAAAAGTAGGCTTTCTTCTGGGCTTTCTTCATAGAGTCAGTAGGTGGCTGATTGACGGAAGATCGCTTCCGAGGATTTCTCAGTTCGCAATGGAACTACGAATAGAAGAGTCAGACCGGAAGTCAGTCAGCGCGACAACGGGAGAAACAAAGAGAAGCTCCAGACAAAAAAAAACACTTGGTCGGCGACATCATAGGACCGGGCATCTGTGGTGTTTTATCGGTTCCTTTTATGCATACGGACTGCCGAAAAGACATTTGGACGAAATCCGACCCCCCCTCTGGATTTGGCAGGGGTCAAAACACCCCAAAAATGGCCATTTTCGACGTTTTGGGACTAAATGGGTTCTGCCAAACCAAAGCCCAAAAAAGTACCCAAATGGGTCCTGGGCATAGAAAAAAGTGCGATCTTTCGATTGCCGGTCCGCAAAATGAGTTTGGACAAGCCGTTTAGGCGCTATGGGGCGCCAAAGTTGACGAATTTCACAAATTTCACTAATTTTTCGAATTTTTTTTTCTTTTTTCTTAAATGCAGTTTTGATGGGCCTGATGTGTCAGAAATGTGTTCTTATCCTCCTTTCGTCATTATTTACTTGAAACAACCCCGCTTCAGCTAACCTTTACTCCCATTTTCACGCTGTGCACGATTTTCAGCAACTCGAACGCCTGGCAGTTAGGCAGCCACCCCAGTCCAGCGCATGCGAGTCTTACGGGCCTGCCTATGCGGCAGGCGCTCCTGGCTCTCGGCAAGTGTAGCGGCGGGGCGCAGTGGGCCAGAAGACCGGCACAGGCGGCCAAAATTCTAGACGCGTTTTGAGCTCTGGAGTCGCTAAATGGGACTAGAACGTGTGACGGTCCTCTGGCCCACTGTTCGCCGTGGAGCAAGTTTCTCGGCAGTGACAGCGACAACGTACGGCAACACACCGAGCCCTCTCCATTATTTTTTTGTCCGAATGGGCTTTTGTTGTTTGTTTGTTTTGTTGTTGTTGTTGTTTTTAACGTGGAGCGTGCTTTCGGATTATCAAAGCGATCCCAATTTGAAGAAACCGCTCTTCAGACCGACAACTGCGTTTTGTCTTTTGTTTCCACTTTCGGCAAGCCAGGCCACCCAACTTAGGCAACCTCCCATGCGTGACCTAACCTAACGTATGGCATCGATGTAAACAGCGGTGTTGTTTACCACTGAGCTGTTCCAAATGGATGAAAGCAACGGTATGTTGTGGTTATGGATATTGTGTTAGGTTATGTTCTGCAATTTAAATGGCATCAATGTCTGGTGATGTGTAAATTGAATGAGAAATTGTATCATGTGTGTGTTTATTTATAGATTCGAGTCTGTGCTGTGATCCCTTTCACAGGCACAGGACACCCGCAAAAACTTTCCTAAGAGTTATAAGGGAAAGTGACATTGATAAATACCCTGATATCAACTTAGTTTCGGGTCAGTTTTGGTGTGACAACTGTCGGAAAGCAGCTGCCAACAAGAATGAAGGTTATATTGAAAGCTTGAAAGAAACCATGGTTCCAAACCAAAATCATGCATCATTTTAATATACCTCTGTTTGTTTTTCTTTTAGGGAACAAGCAAGACCAACAAGTCCCAGCCACTGCGCAGGCTTCCACCAGTGCTCGACAACATAGGTTCTCTTCAGCTCAACCATCTACATCCGCAGAGACAGGGGAAGAATGTCACTCCTCATCAAAGCCCAGTGATCAAAGCGCATCAGAAGGTACGATGCCAAAATTTTTAATAATATTAAAAATTTTTAATTTATAAATGTTTTTCTTTTATCTTGCTTGTCTTGTCTACAGAGCCGAGTCACTTCTGTTGCGATCCATTCAAGCTGCATAGAGCTAAACAAATTTCAAAGAACATCAGAAAAATTACGGAGAGAGATGCCTCTCGAGTAACTGGATTGATTATTGGAGCTTTCTGGTGTGATTACTGTCGCAAGCAAGATTTACTATCAGTTGCGGCATCTTTAGTTCCGTTCTCAACTTCTAATCTACAGCCAACAGAAATTTCATCTCAAGCCGCAGAAAATGAAAACATACCAGGTATACACTGCTTCTCTAGGACTGCATGCAGGCCTCCTGTCTTCTCTCTTCCTCTTATTTTTACTTTCCTTATTTTCATAAATAGTCAAACGTTGCTGTAATCCCTTGAAAATTCACCGGGGAGAAAAGTCGATTGTAACCAAGAATCTCAGAGTAATCACCGAAGAAGACTCAACAAAAACCGAAGGCCTAGAAATTGGGAAATGGTGGTGTTCCTATTGCCAGTCAAAAACATATTCTATGTTGTCACAGCAGGTTCCAGGTAGCCCTCATTTTGCTTAGCTTTGAGTTTTTTCCACTTAAGATAGCTCAAATAATATTAATAATTCTTCTTGTTTTAGACTCGCACCCTTTTCAACCTGTTTCTGCCGCAGCCACCTCTGGGAACTTAATAGAAAGTGTGGAAGGAATTCCAGAAGAAGCAACTGTTGAACACACTGTTTCTGAATCAACAACAACCACATCAGAAAATCTTTTGCAATCAGATTTAGTATCAAGTAAGGTTTTTGATAACTTATCTATGTTATGTAAAAATTGATCTTCACAAAAAATTTCTTAGTTTTAATTTTTATTGCAGGTATTGATTTTGGTTCAATTGTTGTCCCTACACCTACCTCCAATGAAGCAAATGTCACAGTGAGCTCTGATGAGGGTATGTATTTTAACATATTAAAGTTGTTTATTTTAGTCAAATTATTTTTTAATTTACATTTAATTTTCTTCAACTTTTAGATTTGTGCTGCAATCCATTTTCCCTCCACCCTGAAGAAAAACGCTCAAAGAGTGTTAGAAAAATTTCAGTTGCTGATGGCAACATGTTTTCAGCTTTGACTGTGTATGTTGGCAAGTTTTGGTGTGCTCCATGTAGAAAAAGTAGAGGTTTGTATCTTTTCACCAAAGTTATCTTATTTTATTTATTAAAACAATGAATGTTTCAATTCATTTTAATTTCTTTCAGAACATGTCAAGTGCTCATATAGCTCAGAAAAAAGAAATATCTGCACTGGAAAACTTATGAGAGTGGACTCTTTAACCAAAGATCAAGAAAGAGCACTGGCATGGAATACTGGAATCTGGACGGATGCCTCTTCTAAAACTGTATGCGAGAAACACTTCCATACGTTTGTTGGTGTTCATACAGTTGTTGATCCACCTGTCATCACTGACCGCTGCTGCAACCCTCTGAAGAATCATCGCAAGGGCTCTGAATCAGTCACAAATCTAAATGACATAAGAATATGTGGTGTTCTGAGAGCCAGAGAGAAAAACATTTTCTTAAAGTATGGTGAAAAGTACTGCAGCAAATGCCGGCTTGAAATTATGGAACTACCCAACAACAATCAACAGAGCCAAGAAACCTCCACACCCGTTATGAGTCAAGGGAGTAGTGTTGGCTTAACAGAGGTGGCCTCCCCTGCGATTCGTCAGATTCAAATGATAGAATTGAAGAAAGCTCTTCAAAGCATTGGCGTAGTTTCTGCATCATCTGTCGGTGACTTAAAACATTCCAAACAAGGAAGAATCAACGCAGCAAAGAGACACATAGAAGATGCTGCAGAGGTCGCAAAAAATAAAGTATGTCTATCACTAGCTCTTGCTAAAGAAGATGTAGTAACCGATAACGAGCAAAGTGCACAACATTTTTTGGATTTAATGGTAGAAGTAAAACTGCGACTTCCCAATGCCAGCAAATCTCAAAAGTATCAACTGCTATCACTTTGGCCTCCATCAATGCCACGAAGGGAAGGGGCAGAATTTTTCAATGTGAGCAGAACCCTTCTCAATGCTGCTATGGATTTGAGAGAAGAAAAGGGTCTTTTGGCGACTCCTTCATTTCAGCGATCCGCGTTGGTTTCTGAGGAGACCAGAAGTGCAGCTGTGAATTTTTATCTTGATGACCGGAACTCCAAAGTTCTTCCTGGACGAAGAGATGTTGTTAGTCTTGGTGGCGGTGTTTATGAACAAAAGCGTCTGCTTCTGTCCAACTTGAATGAACTTTATGCCTTATTTAAAGCTGAATATAGTGCTGGCAAAATTGGTTTGTCAGTTTTCTGTTCTCTCCGCCCTAAGTGGTGTGTTACAGCAGGTGCTAAAGGGGTCCACTCAGTTTGTGTGTGCCAAACGCATCAAGATACCAAACTTATGCTGCACTCTCTCCATATTAAAGACCACTACAGAGAGCTGATAAAACTCTGTGTGTGTGATGACAAGAATAGGGAATGCATGTTAAGGATTTGCAAAAATTGTCCTAAACCTTCTGAAATATCTGAAATTCTTGAAGACCTCATGATGAAGAGTTATTTCTCCCCTGAAGACCTACAACTGATGGAAGATGGCAGCATGGAAAAGCGGAGGCTTCTTGCAGAAGATGTACAATACCAACAGTGGAAGTCAACAGACCGTGCAGAGATGATTTCTGTTGTCTGCACCAGAGCTGACCTAATTAGCTCAACAACTGACCAAATTTTAAAATTAATTCCTCATGACTTTGTGGCCAGAAGCCAGTCAGAATATCTAAAACAGTTAAAAGATAATCTGAATGATTCAACTATTATAGTGACTATGGATTTTGGGATGAATTACTCCTGTTTGATTCAAGGAGAAATTCAATCATACCACTGGTCGAAAAAGCAGGTGACTATTCACCCTGTTGTAATATTTTATAAAGATGGTCAAGAAGTGAAGCATCGCACAATTGTATTTATTTCTGATGATCTGGACCATGATGCTGATTTAGTTCAAGTATTTGAAGAGAAAATTATTGAAATTGTGAAGCAGGACCATCCTTCCACAACTGATATTGAGTTCTTTACTGATGGCTGTGGAGCACAGTACAAGAACAAAAAAACATTCATGAGAGACTGTCAGTGTTTCAAAAAACATGGCATCAGAGTCAAGCGCAACTTTCATGCAACAAGCCATGGAAAATGCCTCTGCGATGCTGCCTCAGCTAGTGTCAAACGCAAGGTGGCCAATGCCAGCTTGCAACGACCTATCAACGAACAGATTATCAATGCTTTGGATGTATATCAATTCTGCAAGTCATCTGATTTAGATATGCATTTTGTCATGGTATACAAAGCAGATGTAGATAAAGTAAGAGAGGCAGCAAAGCTACAAAAAGAACTGCAAGCAGTCCCAGGAACAAGGTCCTTTCATCAGTATGTTCCTTTGAATGGTAAGGTTTGCGTTCATATATTATAGTTTTCAATGTTTAATTTTTTTAAACACTTTCTTACATTAATATTTTTCTCTCCCCAGATAATACAGTTGAATGCAGATTCACAAGTTTCGACGAGGAGCCAGCAATCATTCATTGCATGGAGGAGGTCGCATCCAACATGGATATTGATGTTGGAAAATTTGTTCTTGTTAAATTTTCAAGAAAGAAGTTCATTGGATTTGTAACAGACTTTTGCGAGGAAGATGGGGAAGTCGAGTTAACTCTACTCCATCCCAAGCTGCCAGCAACATCCTTTACCTGGCCAGATGATCTGTCAACAATAATAGTCCCTCTGCCTCATGTTCTTGACAGCGTTTCCCTGATTGAATGTGATAACAACCAGTATGAGTTAAGTGCAGCATCAAAGCAGATGCTCACGGCTCGTCATGTACTTAAGTAATCAAAAATATAAAAACAGACGTTTTAAATTTGATTCCTTGTTCCATCTCCTTCAAAAACTCTCCTTGCTGCTTTCATATTTTCTCATACCGCTGTTCAGTTGGCCAGAAGACCGGCGCAGGCGGGCAACACTCTAGACGCGTTTTGAGCTCTTGAGTCGCTAGACAGAACTCGAACCGAGCGTGTGACCCCACCAATGAATCCCTCGTTCGGAGGGCAATCCGTTGGTGGGGTCACACGTTCCAGTCCCATTTAGCGACTCCAGAGCTCAAAACGCGTCTAGAATTTTGGCCGCCTGTGCCGGTCTTCTGGCCCACTGCGCCCCGCCGCTACACTTGCCGAGAGCCAGGAGCGCCTGCCGCATAGGCAGGCCCGTAAGACTCGCATGCGCTGGACTGGGGTGGCTGCCTAACTGCCAGGCGTTCGAGTTGCTGAAAATCGTGCACAGCGTGAAAATGGGAGTAAAGGTTAGCTGAAGCGGGGTTGTTTCAAGTAAATAATGACGAAAGGAGGATAAGAACACATTTCTGACACATCAGGCCCATCAAAACTGCATTTAAGAAAAAAGAAAAAAAAATTCGAAAAATTAGTGAAATTTGTGAAATTCGTCAACTTTGGCGCCCCATAGCGCCTAAACGGCTTGTCCAAACTCATTTTGCGGACCGGCAATCGAAAGATCGCACTTTTTTCTATGCCCAGGACCCATTTGGGTACTTTTTTGGGCTTTGGTTTGGCAGAACCCATTTAGTCCCAAAACGTCGAAAATGGCCATTTTTGGGGTGTTTTGACCCCTGCCAAATCCAGAGGGGGGGTCGGATTTCGTCCAAATGTCTTTTCGGCAGTCCGTATGCATAAAAGGAACCGATAAAACGCCACAGATGCCCGGTCCTATGATGTCGCCGACCAAGTGGTTTTTTTTGTCTGGAGCTTCTCAAAAGAGCGTCGCGCGGCTGTGCCAGGCGGTGGAAGGGGTGGAAAGCGGCGGAGTGGGGGTGAAGGCGGCGAGCGCATGCTGTCCCCACTCTGCCCATCCCGGCCCCCACCACCGCTCAGCACGGCCTCGCGACGCTCTTTTGTTTCTCTCGTTCTGTCTCTGACTTCCGGTCTGAATTTCCTCCGAAGTACCCTATTTTCACCACCACCGCCTAGCGCAGCCGCGCGACGCTCTTTTGTTTCTCCCGTTGTCGCGCTGACTTCCGGTCTGAATCTTCTCCGAAGTACCCTGTTCTTCTTAGAAGGTGGTGGATCGGCTGGCGGCGTGCCTGAACTGGTGGTACGTCAGGGTTGTTGGTCTCAGGGGCTGGAGTTTCCGCTTTCTGGGGCGGGGGAGTCTCAGCGGCTGGTGCAGCGTTGGGCTTTGGTGGTTATGACGTGAGAAGGAAGGAATAGAATAGTCGGGACAGGTAAAATTAAAATAAGCAAGTAGATACTTTGGGACTCTGAAACGAAAAGCGCAGTCGTTGGTCCTAAAATACTGAGAACTCTTCACTGTTCACGGCAAAAAATCTGTGTCTGATACGGAGCATGTTACGACGTTCCGTATACCCCCTGAAATGGGGATACGGCTGGTGGACCGGAGGCGGGGCTTGGGCTTCGTAGTACTTGGGCCTCTGCTACGGGCTTTTGTTGTTGACGTGCCCGCACTGCTGCCCCGCGTACGGGGCCTGCTCTGCCTCTCCTGCTTGGCCGGCTGTTGTGGCTTGCGGTTCCCGCCGTAATTAGTCGGCTTCTTGTAGTTGTCAGCTAAGACTGAAGACGCCTGCGGGGGTGCAAGGCTCAGGGGCATATAGATTGACTGCGCACCCTTTGTTGCCTGCAGCCAGAACAACACCTGGTTGAGCAGCATGAAGTTGTCAAACAGCGGCATGCAAACTGTTTGCGTTACATGGTCAAAGGTCCGGATAGTGTTTGGGGGCACATAACCAGTATTTCCCATGTAAGGGATTTGGGGCAAGTGTTGGTCGCTTTTCAGACATTTCATTCATAACGTCTTCTAGATAGGTATGAGTTCTCTTTCGAATGGTTTGTTTTGTACTTGTTCTTCGCCGACGTTGCTTTCCAGCAGATAAATTCAGCCTTCAAACCTTAAAGAAGCATTGGTGCGGCCGCCACTAGATCTCGTACACAACAAGGTAGGTGTACGCCCGACCGTGTGTTGAAACAGGCTTCGCGATGCTGCGGCAGTTTCGACAAACCACGACTGGCGTTTACACCTACCTTGGCGTGGGGCGCTGGTTTGCCTTCGGCAGACTCTCGCCGCGCATTGCGACATTAAGAGACCTGATCTCACGTGAAAGTATCATTCGATTCCGACTGTTATGTTGGAAGTACGAGACGACGAGAGGCTGGGCTGGGCTTCCCTGGGCATACTGCACGACATTTTCGGTTCGACACCCCTATTTTCCTGGCAAACTTTTGTCCTATTAGGACTCCTATCTGGGTCAGAGGTCGAAATGGATTCCACTCTCTTTACCAGCAACCTCCAAAACATGAAATGATGATAAACCTACCATGACAACAAATAGTAGTATTTTTTTTTTCCGGTTACTAAGTGCTTTTTGGCTGAAATGACCTCATGGATCAAGATGGAAAGCTGCATTTCGGTGTGTGGCGAGCCAAAGACCTACCTAAGAACCCTGCAAAATCTCAGCCAGATCGGCCGAGCCGTTCAGGAGTAGTGCACACACGCACACCCACGCTGGCAGAAAAAGTTTTTTAACCCCACTGGAGTAACAGGCTTCGCTATCGCTCAGCCAACAAAGGAAACTCATTGATAGGCCCTAGATAGGACGGTGTCTCTTTGGTGGCCATGACCTCATGGAATAAGGTAGAATGCTGACTTTTGATGGGTGGAGAGCCAAAGACACACGCACTAACCCTTCAAAATCTCAGACATTGGCAGAGCCGTTCAGAAGAGTAGTGTACTCACATACAGACAGAAAGTGTTATTCAACCCCACTGGGGTTAAGTGCTTCGCCATCGCTCAGCGATAAACTCTTTGATGATGAAGCGTGAGGATCGTAGAGAACAAACCCACCCATAACAGGGAAACGAATTACTAAGAACTCTTGACTACGGAGCACACGCAGACTCAGCTTTCTTTCCCATTTTCTGTGCAAAATAACAAGGTGAGTGTACGCCAGACCGTGTCTTGTCGTAACAGGCTTCGCTATACTGCGCCAGTTCGGACAAACCACGACTGGCGTTGTGGGGTGATGGTGGTGGACCGATAGGGTACTTTCGTAGATCCCTGAACCGGAAGCACACAGACGCCATGTTGGCGGAAGTAGATCCAAACTCGACATAGGAAAGAGACGTTCGTCAAAGGTATCGGCCACACTTCAACTTAAACAGTAGTTTGATACTTGTTTGCAGTGCATATGTGTTTCGCGAGCAATATTTGTACAGCTCGGCTTTAGTTTTGGATCCGAAGAGAGGTTAATTTCCGGCCAATTTGGCGTCTGCTGGTCTGCTTGCTTCCGGTTCAGGATTCTACGAAAGTACCCTATTCATTCTCAGTGTATGCACCTATCTTGGCGTGCGGCGCTAGCCTGCCTTCGGCAGGCTGCTTGCCCCTTCGTGCGCCCATGAGCGTGATGCCCATTTGGTGATCAAAATCTTCACTAATGGGACTTAGCTGTGGGTCGGAGGTCAGAACGGATTCTATTTTCACCATCAGCACCCTCAAAAACATAGGAAACGATACGAAACTCGATAAAAAGTTGCAAGTCCCTTAAAATTTGTCTTTTTCCTGCTGTTTTCATGTGTTTTTTGGTCAATACGGCCGAATGGATCGAGTTAAAAAGCTGAATTTTGGTGTGTGGCGAGCCAAGGATATACCAAATGACCCTGCAAAATCTCAGCCGAATCCGCCCAGCCGTTCAGAAGGAGTAGTACGGACACACAGATACTCACACATTCAGAGATGAAAAACTTTTCAAACCCACCCGAGTAACAGGCTTCGCTATCGCTCAGCCAATCATAGCTGGAACCCTCCTCCCGTTCATGTGAACCATGCCTTTTTGTGCCGTTTTCGAAGCGTTTTTTGGTGGTTTTATCCGCAGGGATTTAGATTGTAAGCTGAATTTTGGTGTGTGGCGAGCTAAGGATCCTAATAACCTTTCAAAATCTCAGCCGAATCGGCCGAGCTGTTCAAAAGGAGTAGTGTGGACACGCAGACAGACAGAAAAATTTTTTCAACGATACCTAAGAAACAGGCTTTGCTATCGCTCAGCCATCAAAATTGCAGCTCTTTAAAGAATAATTCCTTGGGGAATGTTAACATTGTTCAGATCAGGATTTCCGTCCAGACGTAAGCCTTTATCAGTAGCCACATCAAGCAGGCTGCGGAAATCCCGCGGGTAGGTGAGAGCTTTAGCTGTCTTATTAGAGAGCATGGCAGGCAAAGTGATGCACGGTGCTGAAGTTAATCTCTCCTTCCATTCACGCAGGGACCGCCCAGCCGAAAAGTGCAAGCGCAGGCAGATGCTCGGGAAGGTAGGGAACCGACTGGCGAGCCGTGCCGAGACTCGGCAGTCGGTGTGGGGCCTTCCAGCGACCAAGACCTGCTCAAGTGTCGGGAGTGCAGGGAGAACCGGACTCTACCCTTATTCTACACCCCTCACACCCAAGTAACCCCCTGACCATCAGAGAGCTACATCTCTGACAAGTGCTCTGGCCCACTAAACTGCCTGCTGGGTCCCGGACTTGTACATTCTGACAAAACTTTCCAACCCCAGAAGAGTAACGGGAGGGGTGGCACTTTCGGACGCCATCCGACTGTTGACGTCTGCTCTCCCCCACCCCAACCCAACCCCATCCAGCCGGTCCTCGCATGTGTTCTGCAGGTATTCCAGGTGCGTGGGCCCGTCCAGGTTGTCTGCGAGGATGACTGGTCTGCGTCCCATCATTCAAAACCACAAGCGGTCGGGAACAAGCGGCACGGCTAGCGCGAGACAAATCGCTGCCGCCGCCGCCCGGCCCGGCCGCCCGTTCAAACGACGCGCGCTCCACCG